CGAAGCAGTCAATGAACTTGATATCCAGTCGATGAAGATTTCTAATACTTTGCTTAGTCGTCGTGATGAACTACAATCTCAGGGTCAATCAAACTCGCGTTCATTTAACAGTGATTCCTATTCTCGTGTAAATACGAAAGGTGTTTCAACGAGGAATTACAAAGCAAATCACAAAGGTGAGATGAAGTTTGGTAAATGTTTATCATGTGGAAAGTTTCATGCTCGCAATTCATGTGTATTTCCTAATGATAAATGTTTTAAATGTGGTGAGATAGGACACATTCAGTCAGCATGCAAAGCTACTGTCCATTTTGCTTCAAGCTGTACTAAATCTTGCAATTTAAATTTCAATAATTCGGATGTTTCTAATGATCATTTATCCTTATCAACGATTTCAAAAGAAAGTGGAGAGTCATATGGCAGTTCAGAGTTAGGTGAAATCCAGAATTCCTGTGAGACAACAGTTGCTAATCAACCGATTTATCATAATTCTCATGCTATTGTACCAGGTATGACTTTTCCTAATGATTCACTTATTTCTAATGAAATTACTTGCAATTCTAAGGAAAATATATTGAATGAACCTAATCATGATCGAAAACCTGATGTGGTTTGGATAGTTGCTGATTTTTCTAACGATCCTACGCGCTGCAATGACAGTCCTAATGAATTTCATGAGAATATTTCAGAAGAATCAAATCCTGATGTCATATCATATATTACCTATCCTCATAATGCATTTGATCCTTGTGAAAAACCTGCTCAATGCGAAGCACTAGTACTAAGTGACCTCGAGTTTGATTACATTTCGGATGATTTCATATCGACTGCTGTTTACCCTTATCACAAAAACAGTTCTAATGTTTACTCTAAACAATGTGAGAAATATGTTTTAAATGAAGCCACATTATTCATAACTTGGGGATATAAAGATCCAACATTATTTCGTGAGGGAGGATAGTGTTGGAAAAATCTATGGTTCGAATTCTAGATATTAATGATTTCATTACAAAACCGACATGTTGGTTGTATACAATTCCAGACTCAGGATGAACTTAACAAGAAGACGTACAACCGATTACAAACACTTATACTCCTATTTAAGCTGTGGCGGATGTGGTGTTTGAATGAACTAATAATACCTTTGTACTTGTTGAATGCTCGATTTCGAATTCCAAATACAATACATTCGCTTGTGTCTTACTTCTTAATTCAATTGCGTTATTTCTGGGACTCTTAGTTCGTGCTATAATTCAAAATATTATAAAAACGCATTGCATGTACACAAGCAATCTCAGTCCAAGTCTTAACTAGATACGTTGTCGCAAGACTGTACGTAATATGTTACTTGATTTTAGACGGCAATCGTTTTGCGTCGGTCTTTTACGAAACGGCATTTTTCTGCGGCATTTAGACCTTTGTTACGGTGATGGTTACCATTTCGCCAATGTTTACAATACGCTACGCATTTGCTGTTATTTCACAATGTAGACCACGATTCGACTTCCTTATAACACGAAAGTTGTCTTGATTTCATTTTCGGTTTACTTACGCGCAACACGCTTTTCGGTAATATCTAAACGACCTCTAAAATTCTCCACATACCCCACCAAAGTGCCCGTATATGTTTGTATTTACTCACTCAACTGTTACAGTAATAATATACAGACGAACACTCAGTGCAAATGTCAGGATACGTCAGAACAATGTGATTTTATGTAATGTTATAGCATAATCAAGCCACTGTAATTATTCAACTTTGAAACAGTACTTTCTGTATTTTATGAAGTATCGCTTTTCCGTGGCTGTTATCTAACAAACGATTTTAGCACGTAAATCGGCAGTTTAAATACTAGACGACTTGAAGACCTTTGCGTTTATTTGGTGATCTGACGACACAATCATCCACACTTCATGGACTGACTTACATGGCTGTGGTCGTACCTTGTTCTTGTACCCACTCTTATCAATGTTTCTGCAATAAGCTGTTTGTATTGTACAGTCAACGAAGTAGCCATAGTATATGGAACGACGAAAGGTTAGTCCACGCCAGATACTAGCCGTGAGAAGTGACTTCGAAGTTAACTGGTCGGTCACAACATTCCGTCTAATTCCAGTAGGCCCAGAGTCACTCAACAAAGACCATCCACGTTGGTGATCTGCATCATGTTGCAGGAAGGCCAACCAGTCTTCAATTCACTACTGTGAAGTTTCACAAGGGAATAACTAGCTTAACCTAAGCAAACATATGAGCACCTAAATGTATCTTGTCGTTTTGTTTTAAACTAGAAACCTGGCTGTCTAACAATTAACGCATATTTTGCCAAACATTACAAGCCTATCTCACCTGTGAAATCGAGACGACACTGCGACAAAATATGATCTTTAACTACAATGATTTTACTATTATTATAAGCCTTATTCAAGATTATATTTTTGATACAATATAGAATTCTCAGCACAAAGTATTTCAACAAGTCTCCGTTTCTTACTTATTGGTCGATCCTGACGATAAATATTCAGTGATCGCCAGTTAGATCTTAGCAGTCCAGTAAATGAACATCCGAATAATGTACATTCTTTTTGCTGCATATTGCCAGCGGCCACATTATCTTTTATTGGGCTTTTTGTAACTTTGACAACGAAAAGATGTACAGTTTTCAGAAATGTACCAGGATAGGTTATGCGACTAATAGACATAATGATACATCAAAACAAACAAAAATATATAACTTGTTGAAATATCTAGATGGCAGGAACAGTAGCCCAGATACTCAAGCAGGCCGCCTATCTAAAGTCGAATCATTTGAAGTTTCGCTCCCCATAGACTACTGAAATTTAATGTCATTACAGAGAGTAACTATTCTAGTCGTTGTAGATTGGAAACGTTTTAATCATACTTGAAATACATTCATTAGGTGTATAATGTTACCCACCGCATAATGTCATAAGCTTCAGTCCCTCATGCTGCTTTGTTTGCACTTAATGACGTCATTGCTATCAAATCACTCGTCAAAATTATGCAAACTTTGAGAATGAGCTTTATTTCAATATCAATATAAGTACACCAAACGTATTCGGAGTTCAACATTTCATACACCCATATAATAAAAGTATGCCAACAGTCAAACCAGAAACGAGAAAGTTCGGAAATATACATAAAAGGCTATTGATATATTGGAAAGCGCCTAATCTAAACCGGCTGACGGTTGTAAGAGACGTACAGCAAGACGTGCCCATTCGTGATCGAGTGAGGATGCGTAACCGAGTGAGTCCAGTAAAACTGATGCGGCCAGTATCAAATGTCGAAGACTTACAAACCTATTGATTTTGGGGATTTATTTACCACTACAATCTAGTGGCTATTACTGACCAGATTAATTTCAATCCATTCTGAATAATAAATCAGAGCTAAGTATTACAAGTCAAACTCTTTGTTAGCAACCAGAATACAGAAGTCTATTTACAGGCATAAGTTTGGGAACGATACTTTTAAAACCAGAATCCAAACCAGTCATGGTTAAGATCAAAACGATTTACACCGACCAGAAAAATTGCTTATGACTAAGATTCTCCAAAATGAGGAAAACTAACCTAGATTTGAAAAGCATCAAACAAACAGCACGATTGACAATGGTGGTATGTCAACACTATGAACTTTGAATAACTAGTAAACATGTTGGACAGTGGGAAAATTAAGAGGGTAAAAAACAATAAAATGATCGGAACATCAGGCTTAATGGTTTACGGAGATACATGATATGATGCATGTTCCACTTTTAACACAAGCTTATGATCGACTAATAGGAAATTTAATTTTTGACGTGCTATGACTGCAGTCGTCATCTTGCGCTACAACAACTAGTAATTATGGTTTAATGAATCTACTGCTGCGATTAGTACAGAGAAAATAGTGAGACCACCGCACTGGCCAATCCATGGCATACGATTAACTGATGCGCGTTGGTTGTCTTTGGCAGGGATCGATGATCTGTTCGGTATTCAGTGACCCAACTGCCGGATGTTTTGGTAGGGCCCAATGACATTTCACTGGCCCTACACTGTCCCTTACGTTACTCATATAAAATGAATAGACCTTACTCAGTCAGCTACAACGTAGGACCAGGCACATATGTGCATCGGTCCAGGTTGCCATACCGCTTCAGCACAACAAGATGAACACCGGATTCATATAAGTGGTTGGGTCAAAGGTGGTAATATATAAGAGGAAGACTGCATATAGAGATATAGTACAAGAAGAAAAAATTGGTTCGTAGAAAGATATGAAGCGATTTTAATCTCCTAGTTTAAGGGAAGACAGGGAGTGTATACACCGACGCCATTGTGATCGATTCTGAGCCATGTCACCAAGAGTCTCCAACCATTGGTTACGAAAGTCACGCGGACCCCAACCAAGTAGTCTGCATCTACTCATAGACCTTACTAGTAGATACCTAATTAACATGGCCTGAGATCCAATGAGAAATAACTCAACGAACAAAGTACTGACTAAGACATACTGATGCAATGAACCCGACAGAACCACCATCCTTAATATCGGTTCTCATTGCACTTCGAAAACGTTGGTAAGTCGTGTAAGACTTCAACTGCAGTCTCTGAGCAGCGATTCAGAAAAGCTACACAACAAAGAGATGCATCACTACACTGCCTAAAATACAATGGATAGAACCCTGAAAGAGCTAGAAAACTTTCGTCATAAAAATGGGGTACCTAGGTCTGCAAGTCTGAACCTACTATTCGTATACCCCTTAATGATTTTTGTCCCGCCCACACATGTTTCTTTCACTCTTAGTATGTTATGTTGTATTTTAGCGATGGTGCTGACAAACGACACAGAGATGATCTGAAGTAAACTTACCTAAAATTGGTGTTGGATAGGAACTGACAAACTATAGTTCTACAGTTGAAAAATATAGACAAAGTAAAGTATGTCTTTTATATGAAAAATTATACTGAAAATACGTACAAGGAAATACATATCATGTCCCGTATAATTTCCTCTGTAATGGTGGAGCCAGTTGAGAAGTTATATTTCTAGAATCGATCGAAACAACTGCGATTTCTGATTCTGATAGAACTTTTGTTTGAATTATGTTCTAAAATATATATCAATGTTGCAACAAATAATTAGTAAATTAAAATTATTAAGTTGTACAGTATGATATCAGTTCTCGAAATTTAGTTCTTTTAAGAATAGAACAAGAAACATGACATTATTTAGTGAAAAGGAGGTATAGCTACAGCTTGAGTAGTGGTAGTATGACATTGTAACAAATCGAATAACAGGATACAATTCGTGAATTATTAAAATATGACGAATGAAACGTACTTTAACATATTAACAAAGAGAAGTTCGAAAAAATTGTAAATGAATAGTGAAGATGAGTAGAGCACATTTATGTCCAAAAGCGTGATACAGAAATGAAAGTATATTTGAAATACGTACTGTAATGGATTTACATGTGTTTACGTCTTAACATATAGCGACATGTAAAGCCAGAAGATAAACGTGTTTTCAAACAAAGTACTGAAATTTAGGGTACTTTGTACCACGTTACCAGCCAAAATGTGAATATTTGGGACGCTTCTACTCCCAAGACGTATACTGAAGAACAACAATACACCAGTGGTCAGTAGACTAGTTTAGTGTTTAAAACTATACAGAAAGTCAGTGAACAGCAGACGTAATTGCATGGAACAATGTCACGAACTATTTGTCATTAAAACATCTGATTTAAAATTTTACAAAACCAAATGAAGCATATTCAAAGCCAAAAGATGGAACCTACTTTGACATTTTCGCAAATATACAAACAGTAGTCGTCATCAGCAGTCCTCTTGTAAGTAAGGATCTTCTTGATCATTCCAAGTTCATAATTCTGTATTGTAAATTGTTTCAAGATCATTAAGAGTAAAGACAAAACGAAACAGATGAGTGCACATAAACGATCTTATTAGTGTCTGTTGATACGCACAGTCACTGAATGAGTGCCTTATCAATTTTTACAACTATAAGTCGAAATAATAACGTGATCATCATACTCGGTTACAGGTACATTCAACAAACAAGTGCTTAATGAAAGAAAACAGGAGTTCAAAGATTTCACGCCAAACACTTCCAAAATTGTAAAGTTCTGGCATAATGACCCAATTTACTTCGATTTGAGTGGTTTGGTAGTTTTACAAAGACTGGAACTTAAGGTCGAGTATTAAAACCTGTACTTTGTATATGAGTTACACTAATTATCAAAAGTATAAGTAACAAAAATGAAAAGAATATCCGGACACTGATCAGAAAAGGATATATACTAACTATAAGAATGACGAAATAATGCAACAGTCGTTAAACGAGATCTGTTTTAATATCATGGAAAGACTGTACTGTGAAATTTTAAGAATTCTGCTATCACACTGAGTTTTAAGAAAATGATGATACACAACCAAATAAAACAGTTCAATCCAGGAATCTTTTTATTCACTACTTTTTTTCACATTTCCAACTAATATCCCGAAAGCTACCGACGAAAGCATATGATGCTGGCGTGAATTAGTTAGTTAGAAGGAAACCTTTTTCACCATGCAGACAATATTATCTTATAGCCTGAACCAAACTTTAAGCACTTAAATATATGGTATGCACCTTTTATCATGTATCTGCACTCACATTAGTATGTGAGTAAATTGGATGTAAACTTTTACTGTATAACATGAAACAAAAAATGTATGCTAATCGTGACAACGTATGGCCTAATTCGGTTTTAAAAGACTTAACACACTACTGATTGATGAAGTGTTGATTTGCGTTTTAGAAACCTGAACTCACAAAAAGCAGAATATCTGACAACTATTCTCCATTTTAAGAGTTATGCCAATTGTACGTTTTCTTCGATAATCTGGTGCTATTGCAGAATAATAAATAAGAACTTTCGTCTAAATTTGAACGAACAGTTTCACAATATTTGGGCACCGAGTTAATGTGAGACATTAAAGGGGAAGAATATATTTGTAAAATCTCAGCGAAAGAATTTGAAGTAAATCCAACGTTTCGCCTGGCAATCTGATCCAAGCTTTTCCAAGGAAAATATATCACATCAAATTATCGAAGAAAATGTACAACTGGTATAACCACTTTTAAAGATATATTTTCCTTGAAAAAGCTTGGACCAGATTGCGAGGCGAAACGTTGAATTTACTTCACATTCTTTCACCGAGATTTTACAAATACAATATTCTCAATTTTTTGCAGTAAACATTGCATACAGTAGAAAAACATTTATGAGAAAAGAATTACCAGTGAAAACTAGCAGTGTTTCAAATCATCAACCAACTAATATAGCTACGTCGAGTGAAGAGCAGACTAGAGAAAATCAGGCTGGTTTTCGACCTGGACGTGGCTATAAAGATCAGATATTCACACCACGTCAGGTTCTAGAACACAGGCATACGTTTAGACGCCCCACAATGGTAGTATTTCTCGACCTTAAGGCGGCATTCGACTCTGTTGATCGTGAGGTTCTATGGCAGTGTTTGTCACTGAAAGGAGTACCAAAGAAGTACATTAACCTTATAAAGGCTCTCTACTCGAACACAACTGGTAGAGTGAGAGCTTATGGCGAACTGTCATCAGAATTGATTACCTCAAGTGGTGTTCTTCAGGGCTGTCCACTCTCCCCATTCTTGTTCAACTTTGTGGTCGACGTACTTTTAGAGATAACAATCTCCTCATCTACATTTACAGGGGTTGAACTTCTACTGGGAGGTTCACTTGTTGACTTAGAATATGCTGATGACATAGTTTTATTTGGTGAAGACGCTGACAAAATGCAGAGTCTTCTGACCACTCTAAGCAACAATGCAAGCATGTTCGGGATGCGATTCTCCCCCTCGAAATGCAAAATGTTGCTTCAGGATTGGGTTACATCGACACCCGAACTAGTGATAGGGAGTGAAGTAATTGAGCGTGTCGACCGCTTCACTTATCTTGGAAGTCTCATCAGCCCTTGTGGTCTGGTGTGTGACGAAATCTCAGCACGGATACAGAAGGCTCGACTAGCTTTTGCCAACTTGCGTCATTTATGGCGTAGGCGAGATATCCGTCTATCAACCAAAGGACGGGTTTACTGCGCAGCAGTTCGTTCCGTCCTACTTTATGGCAGTGAAACATGGCCGGTAAGAGTAGAGGATATTCGTAGGTTACTAGTATTTGATCATAGGTGTCTTCGAAATATTGCTCGTATATCCTGGGACCATCGAGTAAGTAACACAGTTGTTAGGAAACGGGTACTAGGTAAGGATGGCAAATCAATTGATGAAGTAGTGAAACTTCATCAGTTGAGATGGCTTGGACACGTGTTACGTATGCCCAACGACCGACTGCCTCGACGTGCTATGTTCAGTGGTATAGGAGTAGGTTGGAAGAAAGCTAGGGGCGGCCAAACCAAAACATGGCACAAGTCCATGAAGTCACTGACAAGTGGTCTGAGTCATGTTGGTAGGTGTAGACTACCTGGTTGGGGACCGCGAGACAATAGCAACCGATGGTTAGAGACCCTGAATGACATGGCTCAAAATCGTTTGCAATGGCGCAGGTGCATACACTCTTTGTGTTCTCCCAAATTTTGATCTCCTTATTCCTCGTTGTCTCTTTTTTTTCTCCTCTCAAATTTATTTCACTGTATTATACTCTTTAAGTAACATCTCCAAACACTAATCTTCCCGATTACTGCTTATGCTCTTATTACCTCTACTACTACGGGATTTGAATCAACCACTGCATCTCTATGCTAATGTGGTGTGGCAACTCGAACTGATGTACGTGCGTACGAAGTTCTACGTTGTTACTGACTGACTGACTACAAACCTTAGGAATGGATTAAAACAGCGAAAAAAGTTAGAGTCTGATTCAGCTTGTGAAGTGGGCGATGTTTTCATTAGCTTATAATCTGGCATCGAATTCTGAATACACAACTGAGATTCTAGGAATTATAGAACATAAATCCTTGTAATACTGATAAAAAGACGTCTGGACCGTAAGTTTGAAAGAAAGTAGTATGTCCTTATTTTATTTTCGACATGAACAGCAAAATAAGTTCTTTGAAAAACAAGAAAAATTTGGTTTAATTTGTTGGGGTTACTGGGTTGACATTCTTGATTGAGCCTCACTCAGTCACAGCGTACATGAATCCTGTGCAGGTCACTTCGGTATAGCTATTTTGCTAATGTTATAGAAGAAACAGATTGTAGTCAGTAAAAGAAACTAATTTGAGACTTGTCAGATGAATGTACCTGCGTCTGCTCCGGATTTGTGCCGTGCCTTTCGCTTCAAATAGGACGAAACGTGAGTCCTGATTTCCATTTCTAGCCACAATCGGTTTCTTTTTCAAGGAAATGCGCTTATTTTAGTATTTCTATACCATTGTAGCGTTCCACATGCTTAACAAAGTTTGAGAACAATAATTCTTGTAGACAGATGACTTCGTAGTGTTTGTAAATATTTTGTAAAAATTCAATTACGTATAAAAGTGAATATGGCTTACAACATACTACACATTCATTGAAATGCTTTTTAAAAACTATCGAATAAAACACTGAAAGCTTCCTTACATTAAAACACGTTACGTATGGCCAGGATTAAAGTAAACACCATAAATAATTTCATTCATGAATTAACTCAATGATTACGAATGAAAAAGAAATGTCAAGGAAATGGAAATCTGATTAACACACTTAAGAATAAAGATGAACACCCACCTTATGAGAAACCAAAACAACTAAAAATCGATTTGAAGCTAACAGCCATTTATTGGGTTCAATGTAATCTACACTATGAAATACTCCTAGACTCCGTGAAATTTCCTCACCCATAGTACGCCAAAATTTAACGAGCCATTTGTTTAGTCCAACACCAATTATACTTTTTGTTGGGACTGGAGGACTTGTAGTATGATCCGACTCATCAGAATTATTTACATTATTTGACTGTTTTATAGTTATCTTCCACTCTCTTAATTGACCATTTGTGTACAATACTGAGAAACGATGTTTGGGTAATGTAGTTATTGGCGATTCGGCAGATTGTTCGCTGATAATACTTGGGAATGCGATTGATACCGGTAAAGGTGAATGACCACTGACTGAATCAATACAGGAACACGTGAACAGGATAGAACCAGTTGGCGAATCATATAAGCGTACACGTGCATCAGAACAGCCAAGTCCAACTAAGTAACCACAATCGGTAAGAATATTTGAAACAGACACTATGTGGGCTCGAACATGTAACTCATCATCTGAAAAAGTGAGTTAAGTAAACAACTAAACAATGAGAAGATTCAGGTAAACAATACCAAGTGAATTTAAACTTCACCCCATTGCACAAGCAAGTGGCTGTCGGGACTCAGTAGGTAAATGGATAAGGCGATGGCATTTGGAGCGAACGGTACTGGGTTTGAGTCTCGAAGTGAACATTCAACTCAGAAATGCAAGTACATTCAGCTGATGAGTCCAAAATAGGACGAAACGCGCGTCCTGGATTCCACTGCTAGTCACTATTCGTCTTTGTTTATAACACAACCACAAGTATATGACAACACGAAACTTTGTAAATCCATTTAGTTTATGCAATTAAAGCGAAAAACATACTGTTATATGAAGTTTACATACGAGCATAGCCTTTCCAACATAATATTAATAATTCAAACAGTAAACTCACGTTTCTAAAGCCATTAAATGTTAACACACCAGATGTCATAGTACAAAGCTACTTATACAAGTTTGTGATTGTTCAACAAAATGAGAAAGGATTGTCAAAGATATGATACCACGTCATTTGACAAAATCGACATGTATACATTAGGTAAAACTTAAATTTATAGATCAATACACTAGTTATATTGTGGTGTGTGCTACTTATATTGACATAAGTAGTATATGATGTCAGTCGTGAACAGATGATCTGGTAGCAGAGAGATAAGAGGATCGAACAGTAAAGAATGGAAACAGGATGCAATATGTATGAAAATGCAAGAACAATGAAGTCTGAGTCATTTTGAGACAATTGGTGGACATTTTGCAAATTAAGCATTTACTTTATGATTGTTAGATTTTATTAACAAGTCTTGTAATTTTGTGTTAAATACATTCGATTGTCCCACCCGTGTTCGGTTCACTACAATATCATTAATCAACACACATTAACCATTATTAGCTTCGATAATGTCATAAAATAGAACTGTGGCTGTAGTCAAAACCGTAAAATAACGATAAAAACAACCTCGTCTGCACAAAAAGTTAGGAAACATATTTAAACTGCTAACTACTGGGGATGAAGAAGTGATTCTGAACCGGTACCTACATTTCCAAGTTCAAAGTTAGTCAAAAGTTTACTTAAAACTGGCAAGAAGAGATTCCATATGTCGCATTAAGTACACAATGTGATATTTCAGAGAAAGCGATTATTTATCTGTTACTCCTGAATTCTGATGGTGTCATTGTCACCAGGTTTTAGGGTTAAAAGTAAAGTCGGATACCGGAAGAAAAAAAGGAACCACTCTTATTGAGACTTGAGAGGAAAAACGATATTTTATTGCAACAAATGACAGCACCTTGTAAAATATTTATTGTACTACAGCATTAAAAAAAAACATCCAAGTACAGTTTCAGAGTAGAAATTGTCGTAAGTAATCAAGTAGATATTTCGCATCAACACATTGAACTACTGACTATCAAACTTTGATATAAGGGAAATACGACACCTGATGGTTGGGCTGGCGGAGGTAGTGACAATCAATCCATCTCTACACATACTGTTCGTAAGAATGATTTATTTCCAATTTTTCGTGTCATTTGATGTTATACTGTTTATTATAATTAGGAGAATGATAACTCAAAATCTTAGGATTCAGGCTTTATCTGACTAATCCCAGTAAAAACAGCAACGCTACAAGTCAAGGATTTAGTTACATAAAAGCAAATACTTGGTAATAAGTATTATACTATGAATGACCTGTAAAGCAGTATGTGGATTATATTTTGTTATGATTGTCCTTAAATTAATAAGTTCTTGGAAATTTTTGCACGAATATTTTCTTTGACTGCTCTAACATCAAAACCGCTAACTGTAACCATAGAAACACAAAAAGCAAATAAAACACACATCAAGTCACACACCTCTTGTGTATTAACAATACTTCATAAAGAGTATTTTGACAAAAGCGTTTTTCTTATCTCTACTAGTCTTCTGGTCTTGTGTTAATATCGAATACAAATGTCAGTTTAATTTATTTTGTAGATAGGTTACGTCTTTTTGAGCAGTGTCCAATATATAATTCACAGACTTTCAATTGCTGTGTACCGATCATTATTGTTACCATTCACGCTACTATTGAAGTTCAAACGACAGACTGTACCGAGCTATGTAGACTTTTGAAAAGGGTGAACAGGATAAGAGGGATACCTGTTAACTGGATTATTAGTGAACTTACAGATAAACATTCACATTTTGAAACTAGCCAGTTCAATCTTATTAGATACATAACGCATACATTTCACGTGAAATGATTGAGAATCTTTTCAACTGGAAACGCTTTGTAAAAGAAAGTTATTGCAGAGGTTTATACTGAAGGTTTCGCTTCGTATAACTGCTAAGGCGATCACAAGAATAATCAAATTTTGTTAGAATGGCTAAAATCTCTTCAGGGACGATAACCACTCACACATTATTTTCCACTTCGTCTTCCAGCATAACATTTGCCCTCTGACTGGTTGCCACTGTTTTTAGTTAACTAAATTTGTGGTTCAAGGTCATATTTCGCTACTACAGAAACAATAGTTGTACAACTCGTTTTGTGTTGCTTGTTCAACCTAGAAAATCAAGTTCCCTGTAATATTTCTTCCTTCAGTGTTAGCTGTCGGGGTTATGATGCGTTGTGTGTAAAGGGCCCTCGCCAACTGAAAAGAGAACCGATCGTATTAGAGTAGCTAAACTGTCTTTGATCATAAATCCGTAAACGTCGTAGGCCCATACTGAACCCCAATAGCAAGATACAAAATAATGGTGAATACAATGACGATCACCATGATTGCCGTAGAGCAAGGTTAGTACATTACAAAATGAAAAATGCGAGTACTAAGAAGATATAATGGTTCTACAAAGGTTATCAATCAAAATAAGTCAATGTACATACCTTCACCGATGTTTCGATCCCACAAAATACTGCCATTCTCTACAGATATACAAATAAATTTTCCACGCTTTTGGGTTACCAATAACAGGTGTTCTGATTTGGGAGTAAAAGCCATCAAACACGAAGGTGGAATAGTTGTCGCATTTAATTTCTTCTGCTCTGAGCCAGGCAAATCACACAAATCCTCAGTAGACAACCTACGTTGACCCTGCCCACCCGATGACTGGAATGATTTATCCATGGTGAAATATTGCAGGATATCCGAGTCTTGTAGAATTTCTTCTGTGTCTGTTTCTGTCTCTGAAGATGATGTATTTGAAGACGATTTGCTCCAACTATCCAAACGTATTCGCTTATTACGAGATTTTGTAGAACTACAAATTGAATCATGTGAACTACTACCCCATTCAACTGGTTTCACTTTTGCTTTTGACAAACAGAAACTTCTTCCTTTATTCTTAAATGCCTATCAGCGAATGCAATGATGACAAAAACAAGGTGTATTTAGTTATTTTAGTTGTTAGCACCAAGCTAATTGTTGAAAAATAACAATAAGTGGATAGATATGTTTTTATCATCAATTTGAAGAGTATACACAATAATTGTATAACACCATATTGAACTATTCGAATCAATTTCATTAACTGCTCCATTTAAGTTCCTCACTATCGGGTTATTAGTATACTGTCACTTACCTCTTATAGAATAAGATTATGTAAATAATAAATGAGTTGTCAATAATGGTAACAATAATCAACTCGAACCGAACAAGTTATGATATGTAGATGTTAAGATAAAGTGTATCATGCTGAATAGTTATACTTTATCTTCAGGCGAACCTATGTAATAAAGATGCCACTTATCAACATCCTGATGAGAGTTATCACTAATTGTTAGTTGCACCATTTGGCTGATCATATAAAGAATCAATGTTAATACACTGTAAAAAGCTATCTATAAACAGGCATCTTGAACATGGGTATATTAAGTAAATAAAGTGTACAAAGCAGGATTAGATATCCTCTAGTTTTAATCCAACATAAAACAAAGCATTCCAACGAATGATGAACCGAAAGTTACGTAACAGTTTCCGACTTACCACATCTAATTTCAGCAGTCGAGTTCGTTTGAAATCGCTGTAGACAATGAAAGATCCACAAGGAGATAAACTAGATTTAATAAATTCCATACCCTTAGATGGATGAATTTCTACTACCTGAAGTGGCCCAAGATTCATAGAATAAAACTTTTCAAAAACTTTCTTACGACCAGATGTGAGTGGTTGACCAAGACGTACTAAACAAAGTTTATCTGGGTAGTGCAGAAGACATAAATGACGAGATGCACCAGCCTGACCACCAAAAGCACCATGTACTAATCCTATAGGCAAAGTTACAAAGCATCCTGGTGATGGACGCGAGGGTGCAACAGAAGCAGGCCAAAATGGGAGAGCAGCGACATATCCATTATCTGCTTTCTGTTCATCTTGAGGTCTTCCAACGTTGACAGCCAAAGTCTTTTCAGCCAAAGCAAGGACTCCAACACCCGTTTCGATTGATTCACATGGCATTACTTGTAGACATGCATCTTGTCCCACAGCAAGAAGACGATGAGGTTCAAAACGGACATCTGAAAAGGAAGATTCTGCGCTAGGATCATGATGATGACCTGGGATGAAGGCTAGCCCATGAATATCACGTCTAGAACCCCTAATTATACCACTACATTGCCACTGACCTGATAATGGGAAACATGAAAAAGTAGGTGATAATTAAAATAGTGAGCGAAAAAAATGCGAAATACAATGAACCTACGATCGAGATTTGCTTTCCAGAACGAAAAGAATTTCAGCTTAAAATAGTTTGCTATTAACAGTGATTAGATTTACAGCTAACACCGGACCAAACGAATAATCAAAATAATGTGTGAATAACCCATATATAATATATATTATATCATGAAGATATTCTTGCATAGAACAGTGTACAATTCACAAAAATAATCATTTTATAAACTTTATGTACATGCCCATATTTGTTCGATTCAAGTACATCGAAACCACAACCAGTTAATCAATCACAAGGCCTGGCACAAGCATCCCTTAACTCAAGTTGCCATATATCACTAAGGCAAAATGAAATTAGCAATGATGCAAAATCTTCGAAATAGTGTTATCAATGATAAAGGGATAAATTAAACACTGAAGAACATGATTCAAGAAGAAAGCATGAATTTGAAGAATAAAACGTGAGAGATAATAGTAAGGTTCAAGACGTTGGAGCGGGTTGAAGAGTAAGTGTGCCTGAGCCACTATGACCGGACTATGTCATTTAACACCCGCAATCACTGGATGTGGTTATTACGTCGAACCAATTCATGTAGTCAACATCCACTAACACGCCTCATAGCAATAGTTATTCACCGCATGAACAGAAACCATGCCTTGATTCTTAAAATTGTCTCTACTACAGATAAAATCAAACGCCGAGGTTGGAGGTAGTTAGACATACTCAAACATGTGTCTCGACCATCGAGTTCGATGAAGATATACTTGTAGCTGGATAGAATCCTGACTCCATGTACAGTCTAAAATCAAGTCGTAGTAAGACGATTGGTCTATTTTCAACCAATCAGTCTCAGTGAATGGCTAAAGCGTAAACGAAAAGTTGGTTCAACAAATTTTATATAAACTCTGGGTCTTTGCAACTGTGTCTTGTTGTTCTGGGTATTTAGATTACATGTTGTTTCCCTCTTGTGGCAATGGAAAGCCAGATAAGCAAGAATGTAATACACAATCATACCAACTGAGTCCAGATATTTGTCTAGTGCGCTATTCTTAGGATTATATATCAGACTGCTTTATCAAACCTAAGCAACGTTAAGAAAATATTCCTGTTAAAAAACCGGCAGTTTACACATCTTTTATTTTATAAGCCATGTTTCACGACCAGAGAGTAATACAGAGTGGATTACTTCCTTTTTAGTAGACAGACGATCTCGTGGTGCAAGTTGGTACAAGCAAAGCGAGCTTTCTAGAGCTGTACCGATATACCATCAAAAAAACCTACCATGGCTTTACTATTCGTTTTATCCTGCTGACAACAACAATAAGCCTGCTGTTACAGATTATTATAACAGTGATACTAGATAAAACTATATTTTGGTTATACAGAAAATGCTGCTGGTTGTTTTGAAGAAGACTGGAAGATTTCTCGTAATTAGTGATCTTTTAAGCTGTGTAGATTTTTATAGGACATACTGCATCAATTTTATACCAGTTAAATGGATATGATAAAACCAGGAAATACTTCTTAGCTATTTTCAGGCTGTAAAAGCGTAATAAATTCAGATAATCGAACCCAACATATAAATCAGGCTTAATGACTGATATAAGTAAGAAAATATAAAAAAAGCACCATTACTTAAAACACTTTCTAACTGAAAACCCAGACTGAAAACAACTTAATTTAAAGCACTACAAATCTGACTTGTTAGCATTTTTCACTGTATTTCTCAAAATTTTGCGATGTTAAGAGTGACCTACTAATGATTGAAATATAAACGGGTTTCACTACTTGTTTTACATCTGAAATACATAACGTGATGCAGATACGATTGGAGTGATGTCAGCCTTAACATATTTTTAATGTCTTGTCAAATATGTTTGGATAAATAATCAAATGCACATTAGTAAATCTATAAAAATTAATTATGATACCAATAAATTTAACTTTAACTATGTAGTACTGCATGATAAAGTGCTACAAACATACAAATACATAAAATAAGACCAAAAACTGAATAATAGAAATACCATCTCCAGTTTCAGATAAAGAGAATTCGAATCTCCGTACAATAGCATCTGCCCCACCACTAAAATAATGGAACCATCGAGATTGGAAGCCAAAGCAAGGACATCAGCATGATGACAAGAGAAACTATATAACTGGCCGCCGACAGATATGTCCCAAATACACACCACGCCTCTACTATCTCCAGAAAATAAAAATCCACTGCAAAAGGAAATCGAGAGAATAAATAAGATGACTTAGGTATATCTTTAACAATGAAAAATCTATCTGTAAAATATAAAAAACGTTTACAACAATTAGGTGCAAGCAGATTAGAACATATAATGAAGTCAGAATTATCGTGATTTAGATTAACCATAACTTGAGTGTGTTAGTACTCCATCAGCCAGGTAGTTGGAGCTTCAAATATATTTATAAAGCAACTAATATTACGTTTAGTCGAAAGCATTGTTAGGGTGGTGTGGCTGAATATTTTTATGAATGTAGGATTTCTCTAAAATCTTACTTTCACTTGCGTTTGCAATGGCGCAGGTGCATACACTCTTTGTGTTCTCCCAAATTTTGATCTGCTTATTCCTGCTTGTCTCTTTTTTTTCTCTTCCCAAATTTATTTCACTGTATTATACTCTTTAAGTAACATCTCAAACACTAATTTCCCGATTACTGCTTATACTCTTATTACCTCTACCACTACGGGATTTGAATCGACCACTGCATCTCTGTGCTAATGTGGTGTGGCAACTCGAACTGACGTACGTACGTACGAAGTTCTACGTTGTTACTGACTGACTGACTTTCACAAGTAACTTTATCTGTTAGATTTTATTTTCATACAAAATATCTTGAAAAGTGGACATTATTAAATTGATCTGGATGTACTGAACGGATGAGACAAATTCTGTCTCATACGACACAAGTAGTAGATTTCCCCAGGTGATCTTGTGGTTAAAGCACTCAACTTTCAACTAAAAGTTTGCAGGTTAAACTTCTTCCTTCCTTACTCCGATTTAGGTAGGTGATAGCCTTTATACAATGTTTTTCAAAGCTCAGTATATTTCACAGCAGCAAAGAGAGAATGGACAATAACAACACTTAAGAACTGGTTTAAATAAAAAGGGTTGAAGAAGATTAAGTGCTCACAAGATAAATGGATGCGTTTGTGATATTTCGAACCACGTTAATTAGGGCTTTTAGTACCTGGATTATATAACCTTGAAATAACCCTTGGAAGCGAACAGATTTATTGATGCTAAGAATTAGATCAGTACTAAAGACTACAGAAACGACACTGGTGCAACTCATTGATAAACATGCATGAACTTATCGGTCTCACAACTATTCAGCCGAGGCTTGACCGTAGCATCTCATACTGCGAACCTTGGTGATGTGAGTGCGAATACGCCCAATCGAGTGTCGGCGGGAGATAGAGCCCAGTTTCGAGGACTGCCGCCAATCCCCTCCAACTATTTAACACGGCTCATTTCTATCATTCACTTCAAACAACTAGCGAATATATAATAGACAATCTTACTTAACTTATCCGGACAGCTTAGATGCTTTCCGACTGCTATGAAGTAAACTTCCCGCGTGTCATAAGGCCAAATTTCGATTTTTAAATTGATGAGTAGAATTCTAATAGATGGATAAACGCAATAATATAAGGTGACCGAGCAATGGGCAATCATGAAATCATATAATTGACTTTAGCCCCCGAATGATGAGAATTGGAAGACAAGACAACAAGCCAAATGAATGATTCTTTCATTTAATAACTTGCCTATATGCAAAATATGAACGCGAAATAGACACGGGAAAGTGTCACAAACGATTGGTGTAGACTACCTGTTTGGGATCCACGAGATGATAGCAACCGATGGTTAGAGACCTTGAATGACATGGCTCAAAATCGTTTGCGATGGCGCAGGTGCATACTCTGTGTTCTTCCAAATTCTAATCCTCTGAATCTCCATGTCTTTTATTTTCTTCCCAAATTTATTTCACTGGATTATACTCACTGAATAACCCCAATCTTTCAGAATACTGCTTATACTCTTACTACCTCTACCACTACGTGATTTGAATCGACAATTGTGTGCTAATGTGGTATGGCAACTCGAACTGACGTACGCACGTACGTACGAAGTTCTAGGTTGTTACTGACTGACTGTCGCAGACGATTGGAAGAAATTGACTTGTAGGTCGTTCATTCTCTAGTCAATTGAGCTGGCTGTTAAGCTTAAGCGTACCAATAGTCACCAGTAAATAACCTACCAGGACATAGTTACTCCAAAACGTAATGCTAACTGCTTGTTTAAACTGCCAAAGATACACCAGTTATGATGGACACAGTCTATATTCCCGCAAAACACTAAAAAATCCTCGAATGTTTGTTTAAGTCTACTAAATTAGCTTAATGTACTACTATCCAAACCATTTAATGAACTTACAAATATATAGATTTCTTTGTTTTACCACTGGACACGGCAAAATTACTACTCTTACAAACAAAATTTAACAGTCCCTGTAAAGTGAATGAGCTAAAGTACAAAGGATTAACAGTAATCTTACAATTTCGATCACAAACCTTTATGCCGAGAATTCGTTCAAAGCACAAGAGCGTAAGTCCACAACTTGATCATATTCTGAGCAGAAACACCTAGCTTTTTGAAAATTTATTGTCGCAAATGCACTTGGAAGACATAAGTATACATAACTATAAATAAGGAGCACAGGTATACAATCTATCCAAAGCTGACATTTCATAATACAGTATTCAAAAGCGATGCTAATAGTCATACGCATACCAAACAAAATGAAGTTCTTTTCTAATACAGTTCATTCATTCTAATAAATTTCTAGAATCTTTGGTATTCACTGACATCTATTAGACCAATTTGTAAAAACCATTTACATGTATGGTAAATGCAAATGACGGCTAGCTCAAAAATATGACAACCGTAAATGTAAACATCTAACGAGTACTCGTTGGCTTGGGCCTGAAAGATGTTTGTTTGTGGAGCAGGTAATTGTAACAGAAACTTAATTTTTGTTCATAAATGAATTTAAACCTATATATGTTTCATCAAAGATAGGTCATGTTTCATAAAATTACACGATTGCAGACTAGGTGACTATTTATGAAGCTTTGTTTTGTGGAAATATTTGGTAATAGGTAGCAATAGCTCATGTCTTACCCAGCGAATAATAGAGCCCAGATAAGACAGGCTTTGTTCGATTCTGTTAGGGTAAACATTACTTTGGATACACCATCACGAATAGATATCAGGAGAAGAGAGCCAGTGCTAGTGCCTGTTGCCAAAATGCCTTTGTCTTGATGAGTACAAGCTACAGATAAAATTTTCCCTTAACCAATAATTTAGTATAATGTATGTACCAGAGAGCTTAGGGATCGTAAAATTAGGAGCTGGATCTGTTTTGTCGGTTGAAAAAAACGTAATAAACCCTTCGTCATTGCCCACCTGGAAGAAAATAAAAATCAGAACGCTCTTGAGAAACCTACAACTATGTTATCCTCGAAGACCGTCATACATCGAGCAACTGGACTTCCTACTAACAAACAAGACCCCTTGATGCTGGAAGCCTGTAAATCAAGCTCTACGAGACGGCCCAGTGCACCTGTGCAAAATAATCTTGATTGCATCCAAACTACAGATTCAACTGAACAACATAATCGGCGTGGAAAATGTGCAACAATGAAAAAGTCTCGGTTTTCATCATACACATCCACCGAACCATTTGACCTGCCAGCAGCAATTAAACCACATTTACTGCGAGCTAAACATAGAAACGGTGACGGTTGGTATTCATAAAAATTAATGCGATGACAAGTCATACAATCCATCACGTTTTTTGGGACATAAGGCGCGCCTATACTTTCGTTGAAGGTAAATTAGTTTGAAGGCCATTTATCAAAGTAACATGAAAGATAAAAAATTTTATATTCACCTTTAGAATGGCAGATGGCTAAGGGACTTATATTACTTCTGATGGAATAATTACATTTGGTGTCCTTTTTTTGAATTAGCTGACTGAATAAGCATTAACAAAGTTGGTCCATTGTCCTTAGTTATATGTCCTCCAACAAGATCAGTGCTAATAAAATACTCAGGAAGTTACTGATGTATAATGTAAACAAGAATTCTTCCACGAACACTTCCTTTGAAGTTCATCTGAGCACTATCTTTACCTAGACAGAATGGAGCGACCTCATATTTTCTTCATGTCGAACTGGGAAGTTGCTCATCCACATAAATAAATTGCTTCCTGATTCCAGTGATTCTATGTTCATACATAGGGATTTTTTAGAAATTTACAATATTGGTTACTCAAGCTAGACAAAGCGGTCCTAATCAAGCAAATCTGTTCATTTATCATATGCTAACGTATTGTTCAAAACATACTACCTGCTCACTTTGAGCTATCTTACACTTCACAGGAAGTATCGGTCTTCCCATGAACCAGTAGGGTTGCACAAAGAGGTACTTGGACTTCTTCACGGACCTCTTACACCCCTTGACGTGTAGTACCGTATCCTAGGAGCCATATGTTAACTGTCACTGAATCGTTGAACGAGCATTGTCGTCTTGTTCAGGTTTTTAAATTCCTGCATACAGACAACTATTCACTGAAGCCAGGATGTTCCGGTTACTGAGCTTCACAGCGTTGGATTTTCTTCTGGCGGCCATACGGAAGCTGACACCTTATCGTGGTGACAAAGCTTTTTTGTAGAGACTAGCCAATAAAGCTTAGGCGACTAGACTACTTATTCCCTCAGGCCCTTCCACTTCACGAAGTTAGAATAATGACAATAAACTGAAGGTTAGTGGAGAAGTTGTACTGTTAACTGCGCTGTGGTGTGATGGAATTTATGTGTTTCCATCAGACAAATAGTAATAACAGCAATCTCACCCTCTTGCTATAAAAGGATGAGGTCAGAGTAAATCGACCATAAAAGTACTACACCTTACTTTATATTAAAGGTTTTCGTTACTGACAGTAACGACGTGAAATTGAGGACCTAACCATTAGGAACTATTTAATAAAGAGCTGAGTGTAATTTAACTCAAACAGATGTCTCTTGAATTGTAGAATAACCTACAACACCGTTTGTGAACGTGGAAATACGACAACGAATTACCATGGTCTTGTCAGGGTATGTAATCCACTAAGTATAAAAGCGAAACAGTAGCTCTTTGACAGGTTTCTGATAGATACTTGACTATATGCTCAGGTGCAAGGGAATGTGTTCTTGTCTTTCTTTCTTTTGCTCCTGCCAACGCCAATAATCGATTCAGCACGAAAAAATGAAGATGGAGTTTGTCGAGATCGTTCTGACCTCCTACCGGAAACTAAATACTAGTCGTGATGAATGATGCCGAATTATTAGGCAAAGTTAATCTAAAAGACACTTAGATGGATCACTTGTTATCCCAGCCTCTCTGACAGATACTGGTCCTTATTTGTTGCATAGTTTCCTAGCAAACCGTTCATCCCAACAAACTTCGACAGTCAAAATGAAGGAAGGAATTTGCCCAACTTGAGGACTATCCACATCATCACAACGATAAGTGTGAAAAGATAAGACATAATAATACCAAGGTCATTGTTCAGTGTACGATAAACCGATGTTAGAATTCCGTATTATGCGATAAGATTAGGGATATAAGTTGAGGTCTCTCAGTTTGTCCTTATAAGATAGGGCAGAGAGACCTTTTACCATTTCAGTCCCTCGCCGTTTGACTCGTTCCAGCATATCCATCTCATACTTGAAACAAGGACTCGCTACTTTAATCCCGTATTCCAAGTACGGTCGCACGAAAGTCGGAAATAATAATCTAAATAGTTCTTCATCCTACTACTCAAAAGACCTGCAAGTAGCCCATAATACCCTATGGTCTTCGTAGCAGCAGCCCTAAATTTACTGGTAGTTTCGAGATAACGACTTATTATGACTCTTAAATTTTTATAACTTCTTATTTTGGGTAAAACGTATCCACGAATTGTGTAGTGATACAGAATGTCATAGTTATTTAATTGCATGACGGCACTTTCGTTAGAATTTACTTCTAGTGACCATCGGCCCACCCTTGCGACCAATGAGTTGAGATCATCCTGTAATACATTTCAATCTGACATACTTTAATGGGTCTCCGAATCTTTAAGTTACCGGCGAAGAGTAGAACGGATGACTTTGCTACAGTTGCCGTTGCGGACTATTTTTTCAATCCCTAACCAATTGTTTTTCTTACGACAGTCTTGTCTTAATTATTAACGCTTTATAAGCATTCCTGGTCTTACAATAACTGGATCTACACTGTTTTAAGCCAGTAGAGATGAAACTATTCCAATGCGTTTTCCTACATCTAAGAATTTTCTTGACACGTTTAGTTACCCATGGTGGACAGTTATTCGGTCTATGTGGTACCAAATATGGTAAATACGAGGGCGTAAGTGAACTAAACTTGCCCTTAAATACAGACCATGGTTCTTCAACTGATGAGCTAGTATCTACTGACCAGTCTGTCTAAGCAGCGCACTCCTGAATGGCTGATATGTTAGCTCTCCATACATTTGGGCGAGGCTTAACCTGATTATATATCGTATCACTAGCTCTAAACGTGAATGACAAAACTGCGTGATCGCTATTCACCAACGGTGGAAGAACATTTAGGCTGGCAGTATCCTCAGATGCATGAGTGATTACTAGGTCCAACAAGGACGACCCTTGGTTTGCACCGAAACGTGTGGTTTTGGAAATATTCTGTACTAGTGCATGCTCCTTTACCCTTATCAGGAACCTGATGTCATGGACTAAGCAAGTTTCCGTCACAGCTGCAATGAATGGCCTTAATTTGTCCATAAATGCTTCTAGTTCATAAAATTTATTTCCTAGGCCACGAGCATTGGCAAATAAAATTCCTAGGGTGAACAGCCTAGCCACAAAGGCCTTGGTAGCATTCGGTTCTAATGCCTGAGAATTCGAAAACACGCTAATCGGAGATTTTTCTCACAGTTTTGATGACGGGGTTTAGTTCAACCGGCGACTTTCTTTTACTCTATCTTGAAGAGGTATATCCTGTATTACCTGAATGTCAATACTGTCGTGACAACGAGTGCTAATTAACAGAAGATCACGTTGCTTCTCCGACCCTAGGATTAGCTTGAGGAGTCTATGTGGCCGGAGCTCAACATGTCGTCGGTGCTCTCACCTATTTTTACCAATATTTTAACCTGAACTCTCTTAAGCCTACCAGGTAAGATGCCACGGATATATTCTCTGAGCTTCCCCAAATCCTGCGCGTGTATGATTTTGGGATCAGGATATTTTGAGTCTAGTAAATTACTAACAGTAATATTCTATGAGATTAAATTCTTTTCAGCCACGCATCAGGATGGAATTCGCCCTTACTATAGGGCTTCAGTAGTGCATTTTGTGACTCAGAATGGCAGTTCACCAATAACTTGCCAGCCAAGTATGTATCGCTTAATGGCTTTTTTCCTTTCACTTCTTTTCCTCCACACTGCTGTCCGTTTTCCATCACTCAGGACAGCCACACAAAAACTATTTGAAATGGTGGCAGTTTTATCACGGTCTTGGTCATGCATAACTACCCCATATCAATATCAATTGGCACTTTACTCCTCGTTATTTTTAACGGAGATTTGAACTTTCTGTCAACCACAGTCGGTTTTTAAATCGTCCAGTAACAGCACCTACTACATTGACACATTATTCACTATCAGTACTCGTGTTACCTCAGCAACCACCATCTTCCTTCCTACAGGCCAAAGCTAAGAGGCTCATAGCCTCCTGGGTCAGTAATGTCTTATTCGTGCAACGAAACTCACAAAGCCGATGCGAGTTAGGCTCCGAGCATCTTTTGTATGCGGTGGGATTTAAACTGATAAACATCTTATGGAACCGCTTTTTGCACTCATTACATTTTGTGCCTTCCTCCACGGTGAATAAACAATTTGGCTATCCACATTTATAAGTACTGCCAACACTGTAATCAGATTAAGAAGTTTTAAAACTCGATATGATCTAAATATGGGCAAGAGCATCAGAGTCAAAGAGAAAGTAAGTATCACAACACAAGGTTTAGCAAAATTTATAAACTTAAAATATACTTAGAGTTAAAGTAGACCAAGAATGCTTTCTGATTCAACAAGCACACAAAAGCAAAGGTAATCACAAGAAATATTAAGTCACTGCCCTTTTTGAAACGCGTGCTTGTTTTTTATCAGGTTTTCTAACAAAATGAACCGAAAGACTAAGAGGCTAACCGACTACAATGTTCCCAACAAAATAATACATTCGAATCTCACCCTAAGAAGTTCGGATAGAGTAGGGAGAAAAGACCTCTGAAATTATGAGTGATTATCGTTTATTTATTATTTATTTATTATTAATGGCTTTATTCAATATTATATTTTGGTACAATATAGAATTCTCAGCACAGGGTATTTCAACAAGTTACTTACTGAACAACGAACAAAAAGGCAGTAGCAAATACGAAAAGAAATAAAAAAAAATAATAATAATTAAAAAAAAAAAAAAAACTACAAACTTTTAAAATTAAAGACATGATGTCTACGAGCTGTGGTTGGTATCAAACGCAAAACGAATGGGAATGGCAGTTTGATAAGTAAAACAAGATAGATGCTCAAACACAAGGGAAGAAAGTTATGAAGACACAAGTTATTAATGAAGCTATTCCGGAATAGTATCGAAGAGCGATCGATCCTGACTTCATAAAATTTAAACGATGAGCGAAACTATGATAATTAGGAGTATCTGAATTATAGTATGAACTAAGAATTTCAGAAATAACGCAATTG